CCTGTCCCTCGCGTGGCCTCCTTTCTCAGGGAGGAGCAGCACGGGGAACCCCCTCCCCTCCCCCCCTTCAGTGGGTGCGCGGTGGGGGTGGGGGCCCTGCCCTGGGCCCAGCGGGACGGGCCTGCTGCTAGGGTCACGGTGAGCCCTGCACCTTCCCTTCCTTCCCTCCCCGCCGTTTCCAGTCCAGCCCCCCGCAAGAGTAGGGCTCAGTAGGGTTCAGGGTCCGCAGGTGGAGGTGGGGAGTCGAGCTCAGCCTGGACGTGGGCTCTGCTGCCTGCCTTCCCAGCCTTCTGCGGAAGAGGGAAATAAGGTCAAACAAACTTTCTCCCTGCTCGCGACGCCCTCCTCCCCTCTTCGCTGGTAAAATAATAATTCAGATAAGTGGCGTGTTTGTGTGTGAGCGAGACTTGTTCTTCCTCCTCTGGTCATTAGCCGAGTTCCTGATGGATGGCGGTAGGAACGGCCTGGCTAAATGAGGCCACTCTGCAGAGGAGACGGAAAGAGTCGCTAAAGGTAGACAGTAACAATGCATTTCAGCCTCTCAGGCACACAGTGGGAAGTTTCCATTGAGCCTATTAGATGGGAGGAAAAGCCACACTTGAACTTTTCTATCCTTTTTGTTAAAAGCCTGAAGCAATTTCCTTATAACAAGAGCCCAAATGGCTCTGGCTTAAGTATGGTAAAAGGGTGAAAAGATTCCCTCATCACCCCCAGAGGGCTCTGCCTCGCAGCACGTGACTCCCCTTCTCCCTTTTTCCTACCCTTCCCAGGTAGAGCTTTGGAAAAGTTTGTCAGTGCCCTTCCACTTCCTGCCCTGCCCACCTGATTTTTTTTTTTTTTTTTTTTTTTTTTTTTTTTAGAAATAATGTGATGGGCTGTAAAGCCTTGTACTCCTCTGAGTGTGTCTTAGGTCAACAGTTTTGTGTGAGAAGGATACTCCAGGGCAGATTGGATTAGAGGGAAAACTGAGAAGGGAGCCCAACTACTCAGTGATTCGAGATGTCTTTGTTTATTCTAGAAGTTAAGTGTAGGACAAAAGTGGGAGAACTTGCGAAAATATTAATTGAAGTGAAAGGAAAATAAATGTCTTTGGATAGTAGGTATATAAGAGTATATATTAAGGTTGTATTGCTAGTGAATGGATTATGTGTTTATTTAACATGAATTTCAGAGTGTAGAAAAGAATGGATTTCCAAATGGGAGTTTTCTTTTGAAAAAATTAAATTCTGCAACTTCTTTTAATTACAGATTATGTCTACTTTGAGAATTCCTCCAGCAACCCTTACCTAATTAGAAGAATAGAAGAACTCAACAAGGTATATACACTGTGTTCTTGATTCTGCTATTAAAAACTATGTGTTTCCCATTGAAAGGTAATTGGTAAATGGCATGAGGTGATTTTACTTTAGTCCTAGGCTCTTTGAAAGTAGAAATTTTATTTACTTATTTATTTTTGTTTTGTTTTGTTTTTGAGACAGGGTCTCACTATGTAGTTGAGACTGACCTGGAACTCACTGTGTAGCCCAGGCTGGTCTTGAACTCAACGTGATTCCTCCTGCCTCAGCCTCTTGAGCACTGGGGTTACAGGCATGGGCCACCATGCCCGGGTGCAAGTAGAAATTTTAGATGAGAGGGTTATGCAGGATTCTGAATATTCTTTTGCTTTTTCTTACTTTTTTTTTTTTTTCTCTCTGGTATTAAATGTTACTTACAAGTCTGCAGGTATCCTGAAGTTGCTTAAAGCCTCAATGAGCAAATCACTTCTGCAACTCAGTCCCTTTTTATTAGCTATTTTTCCCTTTTTAGTGAGTTAATATTTTCCTTTTCTGGCTTTAGAAGGAAGAAGCTAGAAAATATAATGAGGGAAATTTGTAAAATTCTAGATTTGGCTAACTGATAATTTAAAATATATATTTTTGACATTAATAATGTAGCTTTCTAACTTTTGCCCAATTAAAATAAAGGTTTAAGGTTTATCCTTGATTACAGATGTTTAGGATCACAGAATCAATGAGATTATTTGCAATAGATAAGCTTTTCAAGTGGAGGCATTGGGAAGAGATACAACCACAGGTTTTCCAATGATCTTCAGGTTTTTTCCAGACCATTTTGAGGCTTGTGTGGTTTATGAGAATTCTTAGTGTTAAAATCTTTTGGAAATACCTTTTTTCAAAAATTATTTTGGAAATAACCTTTCCTCAAAAATGCCATCACATGACTATGTAGTTTTGAGTCCTAGGAAGCCAGGCCTGACCTGGCTCGCTTCCATAGTCTTGAGGTTTGTTTTTGGGATATGCATTTTTAAAAATTCTGTAAAACTGTGCATGGTGACATACACCTGTAATCCCAGCACTCGGAAAGCTGAGGCAGACAACCTAGGCTACATACATAATGAGTTTGAGGTCAGCCTGAACTGTATAGTGAGACCTTGTTTCAAAAAAACAAAACAAAACAAAACAAAAACCTGTAGTATTTGCAACCACCAAATGAAGAGAGTAACTTTAGGTTTACATCAGTCTTTGGGTAGGAACTATTGGGTTATAATTCTGATGTGCTTCTCTTTTCTGGTATTATTTTAAGAACCGAGGAAATTTAAACTATTTGTCATGTCAGTTTACTTAGAAAGTTGTTCAAGGAAAAAAAAAAAAAAGGCTGGGGATTTAGCTCAGTGGTTCTGCCACTTGCCTGATTACTGCAGGGTCCTGAGTTGGATCCCTAGTACCAAAAAAAAAAAAA